TATACTGCCTCACTTGTTCCCATGGCCTTGCTTAGGCTAGGGGCACGCTTCAAATAGAACGCGAAGGGACTGACAGAGCTTGTAAAAAAAGCTCTTATTCAAAGAGGCTTTCGCTTTCGTCCAACACCCAGAAGGAAATGGCGGAAGTTGCAAGGAACCATTCGTCGTTACCATTTGGTTATGACGAAGCGTTTGTGAATCCAGTGGATGAAGATTTCCTCTGCCCAATATGTCAGATGCCTGCAAAGGAACCGATTCAAACCAGTTGTGGCCATAGATTTTGCGAAGAATGCATTAATGAATATCTACAGAGGTACGTATTCAATGCGCGTATTTTCAGCATAATCGTAACATGGGGCTTAAAGGACAAGTCCCGATCCAATGTGACACCTAAAATTTTAAGAGTCGGCTCAGTTTCAATGGACCTGTTATCAACCGAAACACTGAATGTATAACGAGGACTACCCAGCGTCATTGCCTTAGTCTTAGTGTCGTTGACTTGCAGATAGTTCGCTGTGAACCAGTTGGTTAATTTCTTGATTCAAGGTGGATTCGAGTATAGCAGGACGCCCTTGAGCGATATGTTGCGTCGTTTAATTCTGAATTGATCTTAGCGGATATAGTAATTGTATGTAGTAATGTTATTGTAAATAGTCGTGCGTTTAATTTTTGTCATGAGCCCCTGGCTCTGGAGATTGGGCAGCCACTCCCTACGTTTACGACTTAAAATATGGTTATCTTACCTTACCTTATCCACCTTATCTTAGACGTAATAAGTTGGTTTTCATACTGAATTATTGATGTCAAGTTGCTTTGATCCTGGAGCAACTATTGCATTTGGTAGAAAGTATCAGTAAGGCAAGGCTCTAAGTGTGTCATAGTTAATTTATTGCATGCAACTGATTTTGGCGAAATTTTCAACGTCGCTGCCTTTCATTTAAAACAGAATTGTTCACTTGATATTTCCTTGGTAAGCATTCTTCAGTGACAAAACAAAATTGCGACGGAAATTCTCACTAGTTTATGTCATATGCGAAAGTTTTAGACGCTTATTATTTTACATAGGAACGAACGACCAGGGCAGTATTGTACTTGTCCCGTAGACAGGGAGACGGTGTTGCACAAGGTAAATGTCGTTTAATTAATATAAGTTAATCATTTTTTAAAATCCTTTTTTGCTAGTAAGTTTGGATACACTTTCACCAACTGTTTAGTTTAGAACGCGACTATATTCGTCAACTCCAGTGAAGGCCGTCGATATATACTGTGCAGCCGTTTGGGTCAGATATCGAAAAGTATTTTACGCATTAACTGTAAACGCTTTGATAAGTACTGTATTTTTTCAAATATATTAAGGGAGATCAGAGTTTCAGTGTTAAACATATTCCTCTGAGTATGCGGCATTCTCTACGAATACGTCTTTGTTGTACTTTTAGCCTAATGTATATGTTTACAATTAGCCAACGTGAATTAGAAATCAACTTTGCAATATGTAATAATAGATTTGAATCACGCATCGAGGTTCACTTTACCCTTGTTTCAGGGATATTGAGGTTATTCTAGGCTAGGTTATTTTGAGCTAAAAAAATTGTATTTCAAACATTTTTGCTAAGAAATTCTGCTAGAAAACCTCGGCTCATCTGTAAATCGGCTTCGCACACACTGTCTTTGGCTTCGTCACGCAATCTGTTCAGTAGGCTTGACTGTTGACGTGACTTTTTTTACGCCAGTGCTTTTCGCGAAAATGGCGAGACAAGAAAATCATGTCGAAAGAAACTGAATTTTGCTTGTCCGCATTAATAAACGGGTAGTGTCGGAATCGGCGATACAAATTTTAGGCCTTATTTTACAATGAGATTGCACGCAACCAAAAATAGAAAAGAAAAAAGGAAGAAAGAGAACTGATCCTAGCGTATCAACCTTTCGGTTAGGATTTTGGCTGGACAATAAGTCTTACTAATTCGCTCCTTTTATGGCCTTAACTATTGTTTGAGGGAAAGGGGCTCTATTGATCGTAAGACAATGGTTAGGAATCACCGACGCGTAGCCAGATCACCGAGCGCGAAATTCAAAATTCTTCGGAAGCGACAAGTGTTAAAAACGCAGCCTTTGTGGGGGAATGTGTGGAAATGATTGTTGTAGCTTGGACACATCTAAAGGGAGTGGGGTGGGGGAAGTTTGTGACAAGAAGAGCAAAGTTAGGAAAACCTACGCTTACTAGGTTCAATAAGATGACTCTGAATGTTGATCAAAGCTCTTCCAAAAGCTCGTGAGCTATTACAACCGTAGCTGCTTTCCGAAAGCCCTACAGAATTCGAACTCTCCTAAACAGTTGTATCCTTAATAACGGGTTATCAAAATACTTTGGCTTCCCCCGTCCTCACAAAAGCCAAAAAACTCTGCCCATGGTAGTGCTTTCGCAACCGAACTTGAAAGTTATTTTTAGTTACTTTAGCACAGTGATTAATTTTCCTATTAACTGTTTCTACGCGAGTTTTTCGCGACTTTTGTAATTGCGAAAATTAAGCCCCACGAAAACAAGTAACAAAATGTAACCCAAATCTACTTCTGGATGCAAAGCCTCGGAACAAATTTAATCATATTAGTCTGGTTTTGCAAAGAATTTCCCACAGGAAATTCAACTGATAAAATTGTTCAATAAACTGAGGAGTTTAAAATTGCAATTCAGTCCGCGCTATTTTGCAAAAGATTAAAGTTTGATACTACTCTTACTAACTCAGTGTGCGAAAGCCGCACTGTGAAATATTGGTCTTCCAAGGCCGAGGAAGTGCGGAAAGAGCGCTGAGAGGTCTGTACAAAACCGACTGTGGACAAGAGATTATGCCGAGGACCAATATTTCTTAACATTACGGCTCGAGTAAACTAAGTTAGTAAATAGTTTATTTTGACGCTCAGACCTTGAATTTGGTGGCTTGCGAAAACAAAAAATACAACCGTTTCCATGGAAACAGCCCGTATGGTAAAATCCCGACCAAGAAAGAACCAATAGGAGCGCTCATACTTACCTCAAGACTACCTTGCCATATAATATTTAAAGGAATTTTAGGAGGATTCCACTGAAATAATCAGATCATTCACCCTTGATTTTTAGGAGTTAAAGATCTCGTCAACTGTTCCTTTATAGAAATCTCGAGCTCAAAATCTAATTGTTAATTAGTTTGTCATATTTTGTGAGGGTAGCTTGAATTAAGAAGGAAAAAAAAAAAACAACAGCAACAACAGAATAGTTTTACAGTGGAACCCCGCCTCACTGTCACCTCGTTAATACGATCACCTCGTTATTACGGCCACTTTTTTGTCCCAGCGAAACACCCATACATTATCTTAAAAGAAAACCCTGTTAATGCGACCACCCCGTTAATATGACCAACGGCCACATTCGAAAATCCCAACCTGTATAATCCTTGATAATTTTACCCCGTTTATACAGCCTCTCAAACCGGTTAATATTTTACGTACGGATTGTAGGTTCTTTATTTTAAAATTACACCGCATTCCGGATGCTTACGTAAGAGCGGTTGTTTAGAAGTTCAGTTGTGATATATCAGTTAAGACTTCACTCAATTAAGAACAGTCGTGAAATTTGACCTACCCCGTTAATACGGCCGAATTTTCATGGCCTGTCAGAGACTTTATAAATGGGGTTCCACTGTACTTTGGCATGGGTAGTGTAATGAACGAATTTAAATCCAAAGGAAAAGTGTAAAAACGAATTTGGTTTTGTGGCTTATAACAGGGACAATATTATACTATGACCGTTTAATCTATATTACAAAATTATTATTACCTTATACTATAATAAGGCTAGTATATCCATATAAAGGAACTGACCAATCAAGTTCAACGGACTAGACTTATAACATCATCGACTGACAAACACTATTCACTTGACTCTGAAGATGACTTGCGCTCAGGTTGTCGAAACGTCAGTCACCAACAACAGTTCTTTTCAGAACTATCCTCACCCGGACGATCACACTATACGAACTACTGATATAATGATGTTAATTAAAGCTCAATTCCTTGATTTTCTTACCTTTATCAGGAAAACATTTTTCCCGACATAGCAACGAAACGGAAGATTTTATCCCTGCGCATAAAGTGTCGTAATGACGGTTGTCCATGGACAGATGAACTAAGAGAGAAAGAGGTGAGAATTGTTCATAACTCTCGTGTAAATGAGCTTTAATTTCTTCTCCGTTTTCTTGATAAAAACATTTGTTTTGTACATTTTGTTTTTTTACAGAATCATTTGAAGTCCTGCAAGTTTGAAGTCGTTCGCTGTAATCACGAAAACTGTCAGGCGATGGTTATAAGTAAAGATCTGGAATTACACCGCACAAGGGATTGCCCATGGCGGGTGATTAATTGTTCCTATTGCCAAGAACCGTACGCAGTTTGCCAGGAGAAGGTAAAAAGATAACATTTACAACACAAAGTGACTTGTGATATTTGCTAACCACACTGTTTTCATCTAAGGTCTTGCAATTCAGACATTCTAAGCACACCCACTCAAATTTTGGAATATTTCCAAACACCGAAACTCCTTCTTCGGCGTTTGGAAATGTGGCAAAACACGGTCCCTCGTGTTCTTAAAACTGACCGACTGATCCAGACGGAGTGAAGGGCGTTGAGGGCACATACCGTGAAATATGCGGTAAATTAAGTAGCACGAGGGTTAGGAATTTTTTGTCAAATTTCATGTGCAATCCTTGAATCTGAATATCAGGCTTTTGATTAGAACTATCTTAGTCTCTTTTTTTTGCACAGGATCATTATAACCATTGTAAAAGATTTCCCACTCTTTGTGACTGTGGAGCTGTAGTTTCCAGAGAAATGGTGAGGCTGTTACGCGCAGTTTTTTTTCTACTTCTAAACTGATCGAAATGACAAACAAATGGATAATCAAATTCCGGAGAACGTTCAAAGAAGAATATTAACGGTATTCTTGACTTCAAAAACTCGAAATTCTCAAATAAACGGATAAGCGCGCGTACACAACTGCAAATTTCAAATGACAGCTCAGTTAGCGCGATTTTTCTAAAGTGTAAATGGCATTACTTTTTAGAGAAATGATCGAAAACCGTTATTTGAAGCAAATTTCAGTTAGAATTCTACGAGAACTAATAGAGTATTCGTTCTCGATTTCTATGAGGCATTAAAATGAGCCTTCGGCCTCATCAACTCTCACCTCAGAAATCTCGAGCTTATAATCTAACAAGAGAAAATGAGGGGACCGTCTTCTCTTGGATCTAATTGTTAGTTAGTGTGTAGTGGCTGGAGGCAATCTGAGAAATTTTGTTATGGTAATGTGGGACACGCAAGACAATTTTTGAGGATTAAGTACTGTAACGGTGATTTGTTGTCTTGTGGCAACAACACCTCTGTCTCGTAAAACTTTGTGTTTCGAGATGTTTATGAAATGATATAGTTTGAAGTTTTATAACATATATATAATTTTTTCATTTTCCCGATAAACAGATTTCCAACCAAAGGAACTTTTGTAATAGATTTGAAGTATCGCACAATTGACTGTCGATATTCCCAACTTCATTGATTCCTTTAGATTCAAGATCACACTGAAAACTACTGTCCGAAAGTCCCAATCCCATGCCCGTATGATGAGATTGGCTGCAAAACAAAGGTGAGTTCATGGCTGATCATATATAAGATTGTAGAAGTTCGGGAGTTAAGGTTACCTTATATCTTAATAGGTGTCTCGCGTCCAAGCGTTCAAGTAAGAGGTCGTGAAAAAACTCGACAATTCATATTATTGCAAATTCTTGGTATAGTTTGATAGCCAACTCTTTAAGCTTGAGTTTGATGTTGGGGTTAGGTATCTACAGCTAAAACCGGACGCGTTACAGAAATTCTCGATGGTGATTAGTTCTTTGCGTGCGTATTTTTCAAGTAAGAGCGTAACAGTTACAATTTCCTCAAATGTGATTTGTACATAAACTGCTGTATTTTGCTCTAATTAATCTGCAAAGTTGTAATCGGATGGCGTAATCGGACTGTCATTGTACATGAGCCAATCATTGTAAGTCAGGGTTGGCGAATGGTAAAATCCGAGACTTGCCGAGACGCCGAGACCGTTGTTTAAATTCGAGACCGAGACTTAAACGATTTCGGAAAATCCGAGCCCGAGACTCAGTGCTGAGAAAACCGGCAAGGCAAAGAAGGAAACGAGTACGAACGAGACTTGAGATTCGTGCGCTCTTGGTCGCTTGAAACTGGATCTCATTTAGGGAAGTGGTCAAAACTATTATGCAATCAGTAACTTGTAGTTTTTTTGAACTACCAAAATAGCAGTCACAGATAAACGCTAACTATTTAGTTATGCATTAACATTTCTACCTTTTTACGGCCTATTACGAGCCGACTTTCAGCTACTTTCGAGGTCACGCGCTGTCATCAACTTCCGGTCAGCTAGCTTCAAACATCTCATAGCTTCTCATAGCTAACCACTGATAATATCTAAATCAAGTTACTTGAATTCTTTGACTTAACCGGCTAAAAATACAGTCCACCGACCATGTTTTCATGCAATTTTAGCATCAAAGCGTGTGCATGGTTATTGTCAGCGGAAACCTGATCAAATGAGCATGCGCGCGGTCTGAGTGACTATAATAAGAGAAGTAAAATTTCCGTATTTGCCGCCGTTTGCGTAAACGCCATGCTTAATCTCAGTAACACTGACTCCGCTCGCTCAAAGCGACAACTTTTGCCGGAGAACCTCTGCTAAAAAAAGCAATTCCGAGACTCCGAGACCTTGCGAAAAAAATTCGAGACTACGAGACCGAAAGAAACACATGAAAAACGAGACTTCGTGACTCGTCACAAAAGCTTCCGAGATTTCGAGATCGGATCAAAAATTTCCGAGATCCACGATTTTCTGGGTTCCATTCGCCACCCCTTAAGTCCTCTCCACTAAATTCACCAATGACAACATTGATTACAATCACTATGGTAACTAATTCATGAGACTGACTTTGCAAAATTGTGGAGGTTTAACTCCGGTGACTGTTTTGAAAGAAACGACAGCCGTTTTGCAAGCTATTATCCATATTTTTAATTATGATATTTAAAAATGATTGTCAGAAGCTCCTTTTCAAATGAAACTTTTACTTTTGTGGGAAATTGTCATGGTTATGATTAATTGGTAACAGGACATCGTGTCGTACAATTCAGTCTGTAATCATACTCGTGATTAACAAATCGGACTCCCGTTTCGCGGTCGTCCGATTTGTTAATCACTCGTATGATTAGTAATAGTAATTGGACCGAGTGGAGTACAATTCAGGGAGTAATGGCGCGAGTAATTTCAAAATAGGACGAGCGCGAAGGGCGAGGCCGATTTGAAATTACGGGCACGACTACTCCTTGAATTGTACGACACGAGGTCCAATTACTAATTAATCGTATCGATAAAAAATTTCTGAATTAAAAAAAAATGTCTTTTGGGAAGCTGTTTATGAACGAAAACGTTATGGGGAAGCAAGAAATACAACAGTGATAGGAACTCAACTATCTTTCACTTCGGTTCGACAGCGTTAAAAAAACATAGCGAGCTGGTGAGCGGGAACGAAAAACGTGTTCAGTACTTTCCCGAGTGGTGACGTAAGCAATGACGAGACTAGAATACAGTAACGACCGCTGACCAGAAACCACTCAAATTTAATAAATAGGAGATTAAACGAATAGAAACGAAATAAACGTTCAAAGTCACTGTTTAAACTATTTCATGTTGCGCTTTTCATAGGTGTTGAAAACTGAAGGAAACATTGCGAAGGAAGCCATTAAAGCGCGCTTAATTGACGTGAAATTCACGTGGATATCCAATTATAAGTATCCAATTACAAAGAGTTCAAATTGGATACCTGTAATTGGGCACCCACGTGATCGCGCGCCGATTACGTGACAAATAGGCGCGTGGAGAACCAATCACGATCGAGAATTTTGTTATAGATACGTATACGATTACAGACCGAATTGGACTCCACTCAGTCCTATTACCCATTATTTATTACTATTATTCAAGAAATCAGACTTCCACTTCGCGGTCGTCCGATTTTGTTAATCACTCGTATGATTACAGACCAAATTGGACTCCACTCAGCCCTATTACCATTATTTATCGGCGCGCGATCACGTGGTTGTCCAATTACTGGTAACAACTATTTGCAACTGGATATCTACGCCATTCGCACGTCAATTATGCGCGCTCTAATGGCTTTCTTAATGTTTCCTACAAACTTATGGAAAACGCTACTGAGATTTTCGCTCAAGGGAAGTTCTTTTTTTTTGAATAATTGATACGATTAATTAGTTAATGGACCTCGCGTCGTACAAATCTTAAAGTAACTGAGCTCTATTTGTAATAGTTGTTGAACCGAGTGGAGTACAATGGGCAAGTAATTTCAAAATCAGACGAGCGCGAAGCGCGAATCCGATTTGAAATTACGAGCACCATTACTCCCTGGAATACTACGCATATTTATGATTTATTTACATGTTAAAGTTTATTGATTGACTGATTGATTGCAATAAAGTTTATTGATTGATTGATTGATGTTTCGATCATAAATTACAAGACAAAAATAGACAAGCCAAAATAACTTTTGGATCAAAGGAAGCGATTATATATGTTCAGTTAACAAACGAACAAAAAATAAAATAAAATTAATGACCGACCGAATGAATGGACGAACGAGTCAAGTCAGTGAATGATAACAATTCATTTCAGGTGCCGCGAGAAAAACGCGAGTTACACCTTCAGTCTGCCACTGGACAGCACATTAAGTTAGTTAAAGAAGGTCTTCAGGAACAAGTCAATGACCTAAAAAAGAAAAACGAAGAGAGATGTGAAGGGCTTCAAAACAAGGTAAATACCTTTGAGAGGCAACTTGAAAAAGAAGTCCAAATGCTGAAGGTGGAATTAAAGAACTTAGATGCAGCTTTTGAAGAAAAAAATACTGATATAAGGAAAGAATTTAAAAATGAAATGAATGCCCTTCGAAGACAACACGACGAGGAAGTCAGAGTTCTTAAGGAAGAACGTGAGAGGGAAGTAGATGCCCTTCAGAAGGATCTTGCAGCCTGTAAAAAGAAAGTCGATACCCTTGAAAACGTGGTCAACACCAGTCGAAACGAGCGGGCGGCTAACGAAGAGGGAGCCAACAACCAAATCAGAGAACTTGAGGAGAGGGTCGCAAAGATCGAGAAAATATTAATATTTGGGGGTGTGGGGGCAACTGGGGTAGCTATTATTTTTGCCTTTGTGAAATTTTTTGCCCGAGTGGTGGGTTAATAAGTTCACTTAGATCAGAAACCCTGTTTGCCTGCGGTTTCCTGTATTTCGGGTACACGTTTCTTTAGTTTCTTTAGTTTAACTTGTGTTTGTTCTAATACTCCGTGACCTACTAATTACTACACGTCCAACCTTTTTATTAGTTTCCACTAAGATTGATAAGCATGGTTCGGCAAACGACCAGCTGAAATTATGCCCATCGTTATTAACTCATTACGCCGTAACATTTTGGACCGGGGAATGGGTTTCCCTAGCGGTTTTTTTACGAGCTGGTCTTTACGAAAAATATCAAATTTTATCATCTGGGAAAATGTAAAACACGGCGGGGGAATTGTGGAGGACAACGTATTAACCGGAAGTAGCTCTCAAACAAATGTCAAACTGAGCTTCCTCCCAATCTCTAATGGAAAAGCCCTGGTAACAAGGTTGGCTAGCGTTGTAACGCAACAGGACCGATGTTTGAGAATTTTAATGTAAATACCGAGCATTCGAGGTTGATAACTAGTTTATTATATGGCATATGCTTGGCCAAAGATGACTGACGAGGAAGTGGTCAAATCACATCCGGCGATGCACCCGGAGGAGGGGGACTAACGTATGAGATGCCCGGGGATGCTAGCCGTCTCGCTCTGGGGCTTAAATCGAAGTGTTTAGCCTTACTTAGGGTCATCAGGACAGAACGCCACCATTTTTAGCCGTGATTGTATCTTTCAGGGTGCACTCGAACAAATAATAAAAAAACGCTGTCATTTCAAATGTAAGTGATATCTCTTGGGTGTCCAGTGAGGTTCGAGCCACGCCCAGATTGGTCTCCTTTACGGATATAATTAAAATTTTCCAACGAGCATCCCCGACCTTTTCATATGGGACTTCGTCTCGCACCAATTTGTTCAATATAATCTACAAAATATTCGTCCAGCAATGCCTTTTTCTCGCCTACATTTTCCTGTTGTGGTTTCAATTTTAAGAAGATTAATTTCATCAAAGTTTCCAAAAGTTGGTCAAAGTCGTTCCTGCTACAAACGTTTCGTTTTTCGCTTTCTTCTTAAAAAACACGTCAGGGTTATAGAGCGTTTTCACTCAGGTGGCCAGCATACATGCAAATTTATTGGAACAAAAGAAAGTGTTTTCATAAGAAAAGAGTTCAACTCCCACAGGATTGGTTTGGTACGCCAACATGGCCGCCGTTTCACTGTTTTAGAACACCAATATAGCTGCCGGGACGTCATATGAAAACTCTCCATATAATTCGCTCTCTGAGCGTTTATTGTCACTAGTGTTTCGCAGCAGCTGCAGTTTTGGGGATCTCTCCCTCGTGCCCCTGAGCATTACGGCAGAATACCTCCTAAAAAATAATCGGAGCGCGCATTATATCGGCTACAAACACCAGCCATATAATGTATAGCAAGAATATAAATTCATGGATGTGAAAATATAACGGAATAAAGAGGTGTGAAAAAGAGTCAAAAACGACAAAAAAATTTGCTCCCCCCCCCCCCAAAAAAAAATGTCAAGGGATATAATGCAGCTGTGGTGATGGCTTAGCACTGTTGTCCAAGTCATTAGATATCGCAATGTGCCATGACCTGAGAGTTTATCGCACCCGGTAGTCATCTTTTCAATAACTCTTGAAGAGTCAATAAAGCGGTCATTCATTCACGACCTGAAGTCTAGGACACATTCAAGGAAACAACGTGGCCATTGAAAAATATCTTCAATCATGATTTATCATAAGCAAAACAACAACAACAGAACAACCACGCACCAATAGCAGAAAACGAATGTTCTTTTTGAATCCTCTTCAATTGTGGAACAGCATAAGTGATAATGACTTTGTCTATTCTGTCGATCTAAAGAAGATCAGAAGAAACTACTTTGACTGCATCATGCGTAAATTCACACCTGATAGCTTCAAAATTGACGGACGTTTTAATTTCTTAATTAACTTGAGTTTAACTTTTATAACTCAGCATTCTAAGTAATTTAGTTTCTATTATAGTAACATTCTAGTAGCTTAGTATCCTGCTGTAATGTTTAAACTTCCTGTACGTAATTAGTCATGTTGTAACTTAGTTTCATATATAGGGCAAAAAGGAAGACTACAGTCTTGACTGTAATTATGCACCCTATTGAAATGAAGTGTCATCATCGAAAAAAACGAAAACCAAAAAGAACAAAACACAAACAAACTGTCTTCCCCGCAGTTTTTATTATTTTGTTCTTAAGTTTAAAGCAAGTTTGCAAGATGCTGTAGAGCTGACAGAACCAGCAACTCTAAATTCACTGACTGACTGATCGATTGAACTGTATCAGTGACAAAGGAATTGTTAAGAGGCCCTGCGCCTAAGAAACGACCGATGATTTCCGGCTAAAAAATAAAATCGGCCGATTT